ATATAAATTATATTTAAAATTTATATATAAATAGATATTTAAAATATATAATTATATTTTATATTTATGATAAATAACTTATATTATAATATAATATTATTTTTCTGTGTTGATAATATATTTTTACATATTAAAATATATTTTATTAATAGTCATAATAAATAAATATTGAATTAAATAACAAATTATTATTTTTAAATACTCTCGTATATTTTTTAAAAAAATTATCGTGTAAAATAAAAAATTGAAGTTAATATAGTTTAAAACGAATAAGATTATTATAAACAATAAGTTTTATATATTAATATTTAATATTTTCATAGATTCAAATTTTAAATTCAATATCACTTGTTAAAAAGTAAAAAACTTCATATCGATCTGTAAGAAAAATAAAAAAGCTTCATATCATTATCAGTTGTTAAAATGAGAGAGACAATCTAAATATTTTATTAATTTAGCTCTGACTGGATCATTAAATTGACCATGTCCGATACCTTGAAATTAATTTTTTAAAAAGTTAATTGATTAATATATCATACCATATGAAATAGAAGTACATGTAAATGAATAACTCAAAGACGGCATAATAGTGACAGATTAGGATGATATCTTTAATATTTTAAGTTTAAAATTTTAATGTTATTATTATAATTTTGATGAATAATTTTTTAAAAATGTATTTTTAGTTGTTTAAATTTTTATCCTTTAAATTTAAAATTCATAATTTTAGTTCTTAAAAATTTAAAAATTATTGTTCAATTAGTCACTATCAACTATGTAATTAGAAATTAAAATAATATTTTAAAAAATTTTAAATTTGAAGAATTAAAATAATAGTTTTTAATATTTTAAAGGTTAAAATCATAAATTTTAAATTTGAGAAAAAAATATATATACCACAAGTTTATAAGACTAAAAACATAAATTAAAATAAAATATATGCATGTAAATCAATCTCATCCTAACAGTCGACATAGAACAAATAAAATAACGTCAATTTAAATAGAATAAATTTTGATAAAATACGTTTATATCATTTCCTGCAATGTTTTTTCATGGTTTAGGTCTTTCTTTTAAAAAATTACTTGTAGATTAGTGACGGATCCATAAATTTTAGATATGAAGACAATAATTATTTATATATTTACAGTATTAAAAATTTTATATATAACTTTTAAAATTATGAATATATATCATAATTATTTTTACAATCTTTTATATCTATGATTATGATTAAAGATGAAAATAAGTTAGGTTAAATTATGTTATACTATAATTTAGTAAGTTTGAACCTAACTTTTTTTTAAAAAATATATGTTTTAAATATGACTTATTTATCTATTATAGACATTTTTTTAAAAATATTTGGTTAAAACTACAATCCTAAAAATATACTTTATAATAATTTTATACTAATAAAAACATAAAAATAAATATGTTAAATTGTATAAAAATCAAGTTTAATTTATTTACAATATGAACATGTTTTTAATATTTAATATAATATTTTAGATGATAATTTATTTCAAAACATATTTAATAATAATTTTTTTTAATAAAACATAAATGTTCCATTCTTTTTTATTTTAATTTTTTTAATCAACGTATACAATCTTTATTATTTTGATTTTTTTAGTCAACGTATACATAAATAGAAAGCACAAAATGTAAACATATATACTGCAAATTTTATTTATAAAAATTAAACTTTTTTAAAAAATTAATTCATTATTAAAAAGTATTATTTATCACATATAAGAACTAATTTCCTTCACAAGTTTGATAAATAACAAATAAATGAACAACTCTTTTAAATTTATATTTTATATATATGATAATTTAAATATATTTATTTATTTTATTAAAATATAATTTTTATTTTTAAAAATATATTTATATATATATATATATATATACATGTATCCATCCCTGATGTAGATAAAATAAAACCAAACATGTTAGGTAATACCCTTCTTATCATTTAAATACTTGTAAAATAGTATAATAAAAATTACATTATTTATAATGTTTTTATTTAATTTAATTATGTTCCACTTGTTATTGAATCGCTTGTAAGACCCTGAATATGAATCGGTACTTCACTCTAAATCAAAGACTTGTGGTGAAGAATTGAGTGAATACTACCCTTTGCACAAGTGTGTTTGTGGTGAAGAATTGAGTTGACTTGTTTTCTCTCTTTCCCATTAGACAGAAAAACTTTTTCCCCTTATTAGATTGAAAATATTAACATATACACATTGATTGGTAGATATTAATAACTTAATCAACAAACAAATATTATTTACAGAATTTGCAAAAAAAAAAAAAAAAAAAAGACATCGAACGATTCTTTTATTATAATTAAAAAATAAAGATATAATATTACAATATATATATTTTTTTCTAATACAACATCTCCCAATTATCAAAACACCGAAATTAATATAATTGTTCATATATGACATTTTAGATAAAATATGTTTCTATTCAATGTAAGTATATACGTTATTTAACTTCAAAATTATTTATTAACTAATCTAAATCCATTCTTAATACCGTACTTTTCGTTAAGAAATTAAAGATAAGTGATTAATTTGCTGAATCTAAAATAATACTATGGTCAGATAAAAATAATCTTTCATTAAAGTTAGCAAATCTTAGGTTGTTTTTAGATTTGCTTATAAATAACTCTATTTACTATATCAACCTCATTTTTTTCTTTTTTTTTAAGAATTGGTGTTTATATAAGTAATTTTGATAAATTTTAAGTAACTCCCTTACTTTTTTTAAGCTGATATGATATGTGGAGTTGATTTTACGTAGCCTCGTTGGATGTGCACTAGACATTAAAATGCGGCCAGGTTCAATGCACCTCCTCCTCATTAAATATCATACATATATTAAAGTGTTGGACAGCACATCATTACATGCAATAATTTTCGTGGAAAAAAATTGAATTATTTTTTGAATAGGGTTTGGTTGGTTGGGTGTGAGTGAGAATGAAGATGTCGCGGGTGGCAACACTGCAATTCGCGGCGTTTCAGGTTTTGGTTGTTTTGTTGAGTGTGGGTTCTGATTACATACCCCCTTCAAGATTTGATGGATTTGTCTACGAAAATGGGTCGTTGAATTTGTTGGATACTATTTTGATCGAAGCGTTTTATGATCCTGTGTGCCCAGACAGCAGGGATTCATGGCCACCACTCAAACAAGCTCTTCGTCACTATGGTTCACGAGTTTCGCTCCTTCTTCACCTCCTCCCTTTACCGTTAGTCAAACCTAAATACTTTTTTTATTTATTATTATTTAGAAATGACTTTTAATTTTATGATATCATGCTTAACAAATATCATTTGAATGTGAAAGCTTTGTGATTAGTGGGTAATCGTCTTTAGATTCATTTTATTGTTGAAATTCAGCAAATTTAGTGCATGTTTGGTTCATGTCTAAGATTCATGTTTAGGTGAGGATCACATCAAAATAAATGAAAAACAACTAATTGTTACTTTTCCTGATCCACTTCCAACACAAGATGACATTGATCCAAACGTGCTCTTAAAAAAAAGTGTGCTGGATTGTCTTTTTTTAACACTATTTTGTGCGCTGACCTCAATTTTTCTTTTCTTGATTCTGGAATTCGCAGTTACCACGACAATGCTTTTGTTACCTCTCGTGCTTTGCACATCGTGAACACGTTAAACGCATCTGCAACGTTTCCCTTGCTGGAGTGGTTCTTCAGCCATCAGGTTTGTATTTACAGTTTCATAATCAATCTGTATTTGATTTATGTATCGCTTGAGTATGGTACGTATTGACTTGAAGCTCGCACAATTGCAAATTTGGATGATAGAATTGTTTAGATAGATTGAGAATGGCGTTTTCCATTTTCATAGTGCTTTAAATTTGCAAGGGCCTTTCATGCTAGTTAAGTTTCTGCTTTTCGGCATTCTTCCTTGTAGTTGGTTGTACACTTACTCTTACGCTTTGGTCTTGGGTTAGCAATACTTGATTTGAGTCATTTTGTGTCTTTTATTGACACACACGCAGAGACTGCAAAATTAATGCCATTGATGTAATGTTAATATTTCTTTTATGTATTCAAAATGGATTGTTCCCAGACAGTGGAAAATGGCAATCCTTGGGTTTTTCTTACTCCTCTTTTCTTATAAAATCCAAAGCCATTAGTAGGAAAATTGTTTTCTTCATTTAAATTTCTGTTCTCTATGTTTTGTAGCTGCTTGTTCTGTTTCAATTTTTAAATATAGCTTTGTGTATTAATCACATGGTCGTTGAGTTCTGCATCTGATTTGTTGGGAAATTTTGGTGGGGGGTTCGTACTTTCGGTTGCTGAATCAGTAACATGTGTTGATATAAGCCATTCCTGTCATGACTATTTGAGGGAGAGCAACATGGCTACTTGTATAAACATATTTCTCTGGCTTAAAATTGTTTGCATTGATGTGACCATGATTTTTAACTTCTGCATTACGCTAAAGACATAAAAAATATTTGCTTCTAGGAGGCAATCTTTCAATGTTAAAAAGTTATTGAAGTTTCTTACTCATCGGATCTGGTTCATACTCTTTTTAACAGGAGAAATTCTATGGGGCTCAAACACGGAACTTGTCTAGGGCTTTTGTTATAGAGGAGATAGTGAAGTCTGCAACAAAAGTAGTTGGGAGATCTTATTATAACGCCATAAAGAATGGCTTCAATGACACAAAATCTGATTATCAGACCAGAATTTCTTTTAAGGTAAGACAAACTCTTTTTGGTTGTGCTCAGATTAATTTGACTAATTAGAATATATTTGGATTTAAATTGTGTTCAAAGCTAATATTTTTAAATCTTGATTCTTAAATTTAGGACTTGAAAAAATGCGTAAATATATATCACCTTTCTCTCAAATAAATTTAATTTTAGTATACTTCACCTTCGGACATGCCCCTTATTATTAGATCTTTGAATTTAAATTGTGTATTCAAAACTAACTAGTATTCTCATGTTTATTCTTTGATGTATGACTTGAAGAAGCATGTGAATATAACTCGCCTTTCAATCAAATGCATTTTCATGCTAGTTTAATTATAAGTTTCTTTGAAAATGCAGTATGCTGCTTCGAGAGGGGTGTATGGAACGCCTTTTTTCTATGTCAATGGATTCTTGTTGTCTGATACTGGAGCTTCCATTGACTACAAGGCTTGGAGGAAGATCATTGACCCATTGGTTGGTGCTAAGAAGGGTGTCAACCGTAATGAAGAGTCCCCTCATTTGTACTTATAAAGATTGTAGGTGTATAAAGAAGTCCAGTTGCATTAGGACTTTATTAGTGAAGGAATCTAAAGAATGCGTCGGCTGACTCATTATAGGTGCTGGTGCCAAGAATGCAACAATGGGATCAAATGTTATAAAACATTCCTTAGTCCTTTCATATACATAAAAGTCATGGGTTGGACTATATGGTACAGGGGGTAATTATGTGATATGGGATATATTAAAACATTCCTTAGTCCTTATGCCTATGTTTGAAAAGATAGAATGGAATGGGATGTATTAAAATATAATGAAAAGTAATAGAATAAAATCTTCTATACATTGTTTGGATATCATTGGATCAATATTTTGTAGGAATGTGTTTATGTGTATATTTGGTCGGTTGACAATAATAATATTCTGGGGAATGCATATTATTCATCCAAAAATATAATTGATAATAATAAATGAACAAGAATATGGGGAAATAACGATGAATGTGGCTAAATGGGGGGAAGAAAAAGGAGGCGTGAGCAACTGCGAAACTGAGTAAGAGGATGAATACCACCTAAAATTGTCTGATACCTACTCCGCAAGAAAAAGAGAAATTGCTGACAATGGCGTGTGGTACATGGATCTCAGAATCAAAATCGGACTTTCGTGCGCTTAGATAGCATATTCATTTACAGCAAATTCTATTTCTGGGTATTGTGGTGATGCCAGTGTTACGTATGGGTTTGTTACAACTATTCGAGTTGTACAGTCACAGGCACAAAAGACCAATATGATTGATGCTGAACAGGTAAAAAGAATATGACATTGAATAGGATGACAATGACTACGTCTAGGGGCCAAGGGTGGGAAGAAAGTGTGCTCTATAAGCTAGAAACATCTCATTTAAACAGTTGATCTTCTCTAACTTTTTTTTTTTTAAAAAAGTGGACCAGATACAAATTAAGTTGAAATGTTATTTTTTTCTCCATCGGTCCGAGTCGAAATAGGTTAGATGGTCTACAGTCTCTCAATTTGAATGTCAGTGTGTACCTGTCTAAGGGCACACTCCTTTTCTTCTGGGTGAAAGGGGACCGAATAAGAGCTCCAGCGATATCTCCAAGGGATGGGGGAGGTACCTGCAAAGGGTACTCCGACGCTCAAGTCAGTATTACACGAATATCTAGGGTAAAAATGAACAGTGACATACCTTGTTACGTGTGACCTATTTATAGCATCTGACATGGGCCTGAGCGTGATGGGCCCTCTCAGATATTTACCAAATTAGGTAATACGGTACTAATTGGTCGTTAGGCTTTAATCATGTACTTACCTTTCTTGATTGTGATTACTGTTATGACTTGCTTAACCCTTCGGCAAGAGGCCGATCCGGCTAATCAATACTAGTCGGAACGGCAAATGACCGAACCGTCTAGTCCGTATACGGCAGCCTGTATACTTCCGGTATGTTCTATGTCGGAACGGTACCTGACCGAGCCGACTCGATGAATGATGATGGTCCATATTTGCATTAACCAGACTGATGTCGGTTCTCGGCCTCATGCCGAGCCGACGTTGATGGTGATGCTTGTACGTGGCTATGCATGGGTGTCTGACGAAATGGCACGTGTTGGCCCACGTGACCGATACGGTCTCTCCGGTACACAAGCCCCCCAGCCTTTGAGGAACGAAGCGACGCGAAAGGTTAATGAAATAAAAAGAGGATTTTTCAGTCGGTGTCGTGAAGAAGAAGCTAAGGGTTACAACTGATGGTGGGATATGAAGGGTTGTAACCGTTGGGCATTTGATGGCGTACGCGAGAAGTTATGGTGGGAAGCGAAGGGATATAACCGTTGGTCATTAATGACGCATGCAAAGTTGCGGCGGGAGCCGAAGGGTTGTGTCCGTTGGGCATTAATGACGCATGCGAAGAGTCGCGTATCCTGAACCGTTGGATCTAGATGATCCAACGGTATGCACGAGGGGGTGTCGTTTCAGGCTTTACTCCCTATCTCCTATTTTATGTATTTTTTTATAATTTTTTTATTTATTTCAATTTGATTGATGTTTTATAATATCTTTATATATAAAAAAGTGAAGTAGTTCTTTGTCATGTTATAAAATATAATAGTTGCACAAATCCTTTAGGAGTGTTTTTGAATGTCTATTTACTTTCCTATGCCCATATTCCTTATGTATAGATTTCTCATTGTATCAATTTTTTTCAAAAAAATAACTTTGAATGTCTATTCACTTCTTTATGTACATTACTGCATATCCACTATTTGAATGTCTATTCACATCCCACTTATTAACCATATATAAAGATATTATAATCTCTCCTAACATTGTTTCACTATTTAATTAATTTTAATTTATAAGGTATAATTGGATGCTCTTCTCATATTGTGTATTTTATAATCTCTCATCTCATAACCACCCACTCTCATCCAATACCCCTTCAACTCTCATAATTTTTTTTCTTTTTAATAGTTATATCTCACAATAACTTCCTTCTACCCTTCCCCTTTCTTACAATGTTTTGTGTTAATTTTTTTAATATCATTTTGTAGATGAATTAATGGTCTGGATATAATCACAAAGAAGAATAACAAATGCTAAAAAATATGAAGAATTGTTTTTCATAGTGAATATGTTTCACAATATGATAGTTTTATATCCGCTTTCTCTATTTTATATAATTATTATATATCGACGTGCTTCATATTCAACATGACTTATACTGTGCGCGCTGTGGCCATGGCACAGAGTATTGTCATGCAGCCGAACGGTGAGGCTGACGAGTTGCGCAAACAGTTAGCTGAGCAGGAGAAGTCTCTTCAAGAGACACTGGCTGCTTTGACCGACGCCCAGACGGTTAGTAGCAAGTACCAGGCCGAGGTGGATCGCCGAGGAAGAACCGCTGATGACTTGGCCCTAAAGGTACAGCGTCTCGAACTTGCTCTGAAGGGCGAGACTGACAAGGTGACAGCTCTGAGCAAGGAGCTGGATGCTGAAAAGGCTGCCTTTGGTGCCTATCAGGAGAAGGCGCGCGCCAAGGTTCTTAGTCAGCATCAGGCCGGTTTTTCTCAAGCTGCTCGGCAGGCTTGCTACTTCGGCG